CACAAAATCGTGAACATAGCCGTGTTACCTATCGACCAATTTCGTGGACATGGCTATGGGCATCGATCACGTAAGTTTTCCTCTAGAACGAATCAGTGAGAAGTGACGAATTTCATGTGAATTTCATCATTTTGTGATTACGTAATTTTAATTTCGGTGAAAGCGTGAGATATTTAGCGTAAAACTTTTCACCATCAGCTGACATAGTTAAACGGTGAAAATCTAGTATTTCTTAATCTATACGGCATATTAATTGGTAAAATGGCCGCATTTTTTGGGGTTTTAAATCTGGCAATAGAAGATTTTAATTTTAATTTTTAATGATTATGTATTTCGTTGTAGATAAATATTCAAATTTTTTACGAAGATAAATTGTTAGTATATTATAACACATTATAGTCAAGATGTAAGTCAAGATGTAAACTGAGAAGATATAATACTTAAAAAATAGAGTGAATCGGAAAGGAAACAAAATATTGTATTTACATTTTTTATTATTTATTAAACTTGCCATAAATAAACGTCATTTAGTCAACTATAACATTTTCAGAAAATTTATCTATCTAATATCACATTTAAAATAGTTACCACTTCCGCCATTTATATTCTCTTTACCAGCTTCATTACCTGAATTGTGATTTGTAGTTTTTATGATTAAAGAACGTTTTTTTCTTGCAAAATTTGATGTGTAAACTCTTTTGTTAGATGCAGACTCATTTAACGACTCATACTCTTCGATGAATTGCAGCTCATTACTTTGGACGTCTTCAAGCGAGCTTAGCTCTTAAAGCCGGCTTACCTCTTATGCTCCTGTTTGTTTGAAATACAGACATTGAAATTTTTTACAGACAGAGAAATTTTTTAAATGAAATGAGAAAGTTTATATATTTCAAATAAATAATTAATTCAAATAAATTAATAAATTGTTGCAATTGACAATTATTAGTTGTACAATTGTCTTCCTTATTGCCGTTGATGTATTTATCTTCTTTGCACGAATAGGAATATATATTTATTTCTAAGTTCATTCCTCTTTATTTTGCTAAATATTAAGATTATATTTACAGTCGTGAAATTGCCTTCAGTGTAGTTTTTGAAATATTTTGATGTGAATAGGTCTTTACTGGTGAGGTAAATCGCGATTACAGAACATATACTAAGAGAAATGAAAGCTCTGTATATAAGATGAGCAACAAAAGATGAGACACTGCCATCTAATAGTGGAGTGCAAACTAAAATAAATTGTAGGGTTGACGGGTTTCGTTTCATATATACATGTAATCTTTTCATATAAAAATTTGAAATAGATATTAAATGATAATTAAATGATTAAATAGGTATGTAAAATTAATAAAGACAAACAAAAATAAACACTGCACAAATACAATATATTTACATGTATCTATAAATAGAGATACCATGATAATATCACAGAAATTATCACAGAAATTAATTATATTATATACATACTGTATGATGTATTGGAAGGATCCCGTTAGCGTATACATCCACATACATCAACCGCTGCTTAGGAATTTTCCAATGGACCACCAATCAGAAAATTTTATATTTAATTGGACAATCAGCATTGTGTGCTATCGGATCCCTCTCTGTTGTATTATATATTAGCATATTATTTATTTATGTAGTTGAACCCCTCATATCCATTAGATGTTCCATATAATTTCATATATGTAAGTTTTATAGTGTATGTCCTGGAAAAATAAAATATAAAAAAATTATAACACAAGATTTGTCGAATATATAAATTTATAAATTTAATTACCTTTTGCTCGTATTTACAGACACCCGTTCCATGTCCAATAGTCCACTATTGCTGGAGCAGCGAAATAATCTGAAATAAAATTTATATTAATATAGTTTCTTTTCCTTTAAACTCTGTTTAAAAAATTATTAATTTCTTTCGTCTCGACGATTATAAAAAAATAAATAATGCAAATTTACGTTACAGTTATATCGCTACAAAAGCTTGAAAATTTGAATACAAATTAATAGTAATATTAATAAATTAATTAGGCTTTCCGAAAATCGTTCCGAAAATTTCATAGCTTTCCGTTGGGATTTTAAATATGGTTCTCTATGGAGCATATTTTCAGGAAACGGAATCCGTTCTAACGTTATATTTTTTTCAAATTGATAATTTTTCATTATTTTGTTTAATTAATATATTAATTTAATTAAATGATGAAAAATTATAGATGATTATTAATATATATTAATTGAATAAAATGATGAAAAATTATCAAACTGAAAAAAATAAAGTTAGAACGGATTCCGTTTCTTGAAAAATGCTCTATGAGAAACCAGGATACTTAAAATCCGAACGAAAAGTTATGAAATTTTCGGAATAATTTTCGGAAAGCCAAATTAATTTAGACAGTATATAATGAAAATAATGTATTAAATTGTATTTATATTTATATTTATTTATTTATATTTATTATTGATATTTTTTACTTATGAAAGTAAAAAAATGAAAGCAAAAATAGTGAAATTATTTCTTGTTTTGATCTAAGTAACAAAATTCGCGCAAGAAGGAAGGAAGGAACGAGGGAAAGAAAAAAAACTTTGGATCCCGTGTAAAACTTGATGTAAAACTTGATGTCAGCGATGTTTTTAAAACTGCGAAATATAGATGAAAATATGTATAGATATATATATGTACACGCGCAACAATCACTATTTTCTGCTTTGTGTCGATTCTATTATTATGTCAAATATATTCTTTGTGAATACACGACATCGAAAGATCTTTTTCGCTTCTGGATTTCTTACACATATGTATGCGTAATAAGTGACGATAATCTCTATTCACTAAAAAACAATAACTTTTCGTCTATAGTATAATTATTTTCGATCCGATATACATTGTGTATCGAAATATCGCTGATGAAATAACCTAGCCATGATGTAATTGCTATATAACATAGATGTAAAAACATGTATATTTACATCTATATTATATAGCAGTTACATTCCTGATTTACTGGGAAGTAAATTGTACTTAATGATAAATATGCGCGGGTACTCGCTTCAACATTTCGCAAAAGGGAAAAAAGAATTAAAGAATTAAACGGTTAATTGATCAAGATAAATGCTCTTTTTTAAGTGATGATAAATTGATAAATTCGAAAGTGATATCGATTAAGAGAAGAAAACTTTGAGATACTTTAATGAAAAAAAAGAAAAATCCATTGACCATCATTATGCACCACCTACGTAAACAATCAGATAAATAGACAGAAATGTACGCAAATAATCGAGTACCGCTAGTGAACTGATTGTGCGAATATCGCGACCACGACCCGCGTGACGCGCGCGATTCGCCCTCTTACCATCGTTCACCTGTGCTAGCCTATGCTCATTATCGTTCATTACTATTCATCACTGCTCACCACTGTTCCGTTCACTCTCGTCGGCGCAGCCGGCGCACCGATTGTGTCGCGCGCATTCAGTTTCAGTCGCGGTTTATCGGCCGGTAAGGTGGTAGACGCTCTTGGAAAGCGCTCGAGCCTTGTCGCGACTCCCCAACAATCTCTTATAGCTCTGACACGGCATCACACGGTCTCTCACACGGTATATTCCACCACGAATATAATAGCCGACAAATTGTAGAACGATATTTTTTGATCCTTTTTATATTTGCGAACATTTCATATTAGTAGTCAGTCTCGTCAGAGCATTGATTTGAATCAAGAGAAGGGAGGTGAAACATGGCGGAGAAAATGTACTACCCCAATTCGGAGCTCGCGAGGAAATCGCATTGCGGTAGCATGGAACAGTACAAGCGAATGCATGAAAGGTGAGTAAAAATGTAAAACTTTAATGTCATACATATGTACGAAGCAGTTGTCATTGCGTGTCATTCTCTTCGGTTCTTTCGAAACTAAGTTTTTACGCATCGAATCGAAGATGGAAAATGAATTCGCTCGGGAATGAATCAAGCTGCAGGCTGCGAGTCGAGTCGTGACGCAAAGACGCTGCGAAATGCTATAGGAATGCTTAAAGAACAAATAGACGATAAAGGTGTCATAGGCATCTCGGCAAAGTGTTTAGCTTGATTAATTTGGCTAGAACCAATGACAAATGGCATATTAGGTGAAAGAGTCGCGAGCATATCGAGATCAAGGTCTTGAAGGAGATGTTGACTTGCGAGGAAAGAACGCATTTTTGCGTATTACGGCATAATTTATTATTGTAGAAACCCCGAAAACTCCGGAAATTTATGATTGAAATTTATTTCGGGCTTTAATGTGAATCTTCTATAAACGGCACGAATAGCAAGCGTACGATATTGATCCCATAGGGGTGGGATAAAATTCTCGGTGAAGGAAAGAGCGCTTCTTGGCGCGAAGCGGACACGAAGAAATACGGGAAATGTCCCATATCGCGCCACTACTCTTCCATATATCTCGCTAGACTTTTCTTCTCCGTCTCTCTGATTTTAGTTTAATTCCTATTATAACCACAATTTTTTGTCAAATGCGATCCAAGCGAGTTTCTTAAATAGAAGTATTCCAATAATTTTTGTTTTAATTACCTTCACGTAGCCTTGATATAAATTTAAGACCTATTTATTTCATCCATAATGTATTCCACCGGAGGAGGGAGCGCGAGTTTGTCTAATTAATGCGGAAATGCACGCGGCAATGTGCACAATTCGCGGGTGCACCGAACGTGCATAAATTTGTAAATAAAGCAGAACAAAGAATCGTCTTACGTAAGAGAAAGGAAGTGAATTGAGTTGTTAAACACGAATCTTACAGTTCTTATTACAATGTG